CTTCTGTAGGATAGGTTAGTGTAGACTGAAATCTTGAGCTGACTGAAAGCATGTTTTATTGCACTGTAAAGCAGTGGTTCTCAGCTTCCTGATGCTGTAACCCTTTAACACAGTTCCTCATGTCATGATGACCCCCCCATCATAAAATTATTTTAGTTGCTACTGCATAACTGTGAATTTGCCACTGTTCTGAATCCTGGTGTAAATCTCTGATAGGCAGTATATCTGATACGTGACCTCTGTGAAAAGGTCACGACCCCCACCTACTGGTTAAGAACCACTGCTGTAAAGTGAGATAAAGCACACAGACAATCAAACTCTTTATAAAAAACAGTTCTTATACTGAAACAGATTCTTAATTGAGTGGTACTGGAGTTCATTCATTCATATTGCTCTGTAGAGTTGCAGCCATGTCTTCATTTGGTGCCTGAGTTGGTAGTGCTTTCCACTATCTCTCCCGCGGACACGCTTTCCTTGTGTAGCCCTGGTGTGCTGGACTCACTGTAGACTAGATGGGCCTCGACTTCAGGGATCCATCCGCCTTTTTCTGCCTCCCAAGTGCTGGGATTAAAGGCAGCACCACTGATAGGGGATTAGGTACACACCACCACCGCCCAGCTTTGAGTAGTAAGTTCTTACGTGGAGCAATTACCTCTTGATGCTATTAACATGGACTGAATGTGAGCAAGGTGATGTGGATCCATACTACTTAATCCATGCTTGGATGTGGTTTTAGCAAGTCACCTTAGCCTTTCAACAGAGTTTGACCTCTACTACAGGTACCAAAAACGATACCAAATAATAATTAATGACGTACCTCAGGAAGGTAGGCTACATAGCCACTAAACGTTACATTGTATAAAAGTAGCTAATAGAAGAATTTTGTTTAACTTACAAAATGTTCTCAATAATTTTTTTGTTGTTGTGAAGTTGTGTGTGTGTGTGTGTGTGTGTGTGTGATTGAGAGAGAGAGAGAGTGTGTGTGTGAGTGTGTGTGTGTGTGTGTGTGTGTGTGTGAAGTCTGAGGACATGTTTTCGGAATCACTTCTCTTCTTTCACTGTCTGTTCCAGGGGTAGACTCAACTCAGCCTTGTTAGCAAACAATTCTACCCAGAGAGCTATTTCACCAGCCCAGTAAATTGTATTTTTAACACTATAAAATATTTAGATCAACTATTGTTTAAATATGTTTTATTTCTATAAATGTATGTTATTTTCAAAAGAAAATAGAAAGATACACAAAGATTATTTGATAGTGGATTTTTTTTCTGTTCTCTTAGTAGTTAGATTATAAGTAGAGTTTTCTTCTTCCTCTGCTGTATACATTTCTTCTTCAAGCTTAAGTTCGTATATACATGTTTTTTGTTTTATGATTAAAAATGTAGTGTGCTATATTAAAACAAAGGCAATGGATACTTTTTTACTCCATAGTTCGGGCTTTTTGTAAGTCCATGTGGGCTTTATCAGTTAATAAATTAGTTCAGGTTTTTAAATTTTCTATTCTGAATTGTCTACTTAAGTTGTTTGAACAGTGCAACATGAAGCAAGCAGATATTCCCTGTGCTACTTTAAAAGAATGATGCTCAGTGTATAGAAAGTTAAGATGATGAGTGACATTACTTGAAGTTAGTCATGCTTTTTAAAAAGCTAGTGCTTACAAGCTCTGTGCATGTGTTCCTAATAAAAGTACATTTGCCTTAGCAAAAAGACAGCTAAGTTTGGCATCCTGTGCTTCATTTTCACACTGCTGTTCACTCACTGCAAGTTGTCTGACTGATAGTGATTCCCAAGGATTGCAAGGACACCCCTCACCAGAGCAGGCCTCCTCCAAGGTAGACACATTTGGAAGCTTAGAAGGTAGCTCCTGCCAGCTCAGAATGCCCATGAGGGGGTCTCAGAAATCATGCCCGATCTCCTGTATCATGCTCCCTCTTAGCACCTCGTTCATGCTCACCTTACAACTGGCTGCATGTTCTTTAGTTTTGTGGATCTGGCTCTCCTGGAAAACAGGAGACAACCCGACCATTCTCATTTTACGAAGTCCATCTGTTAAATACTTACCGTGGGCCTGAAACTAGCCTCCCAGTTTGCCTGTGTTGATTGGAACCTCCTATTAGGAAAACTAAGTGTTATTTTCTCCATGTGACAGGTAGAAAAGCTAAGGATTTGATTTTAAGAAGACAGAATTCTAAACTCTAGAAAGTGAACCCAGAACCAGGGCTGTTCTCAGTAAACTGGTTCAGTGATTGTATTAGTTATTTTTCTGTTGCCCTAACTAAATACTGGACGGAAGCCACACAGTTGGAGACAGGTTCATTTTGTCTCACTGTTTAGAATAGTCTGTCATCGTGAGGAAGGCACAGTGGCGGCAGCAGGTCACAGCTGTGACAGCTGAAGTATGAGATGGGTGATAACATAAAGGTGACAACCAAGAAGCAGAGAACTCAAGGCAGAAGGGGGCCAGATACTCTCAAGGTTTTTCTCCTGGCCTAAGCTAGCCGTGCCTCCTGAAGGTTCCACAGCCCTTCCCCGACCCACCGAAATGGGGCTGTCAGTGGGGAACATCGTGTTCAAACATGTGAACCTGTAAGGAATATTTCGTGTTCATGCCACAACACTTCATCCCTTGCTCAGAGGCTCATGACCACTTCATAATTAATGCAAACTTTACTCAATCTAGCTTCAAGAATCCCCAGTTGTAATAATTCAAACACTGTTCAAAAACCCAGTCTCCTGAGACTCAGGGCAGATTCTTAGCTGTAAGCCCCTATGAAATCAGAAAACAAGTTACATCCTTTGTACAATAGTGTGGAATAGACACTCCCATCCCATTCCAGAAGGAAGAACAGGAAACTAGCAAGGAAAGCATAGGCCAGAGCAGGACTGAAACCTGTCGGGCCAAAACTGAGCCCTGGTGCTCCACTCCCAACCTGCAGGCCTTTGATGGCCTCATCTGAGCACCCATGACCTCAGATAGCCTTTCCTCTACAACCCTTGCCTGTAGCATGCACGTCTCTCTCTTAGGCCAGCGCCACTCCGTTTCTACAGCCTTCCTCATCAAATGCCCCACAGTCTTGGCATCTCCAATGTCCTGTAGTCCCCACTGAGAGTTTGGCTTCATCACTTCCCGTCTTTACATGTCAGCTTCTTAGATCTTCTCCAGGTACTCTAACCCTGCTAACATTGGCTTTTTTCTGGAACCTTGGGGAGAGCTTCCATTATCTTGTAACCATTGCATCCTGCTTGCCTGGAAACAGTACCACGTGGGTGACAAGTTCTGATGCCAGCTTGAGATGTCCTACCCACCTAGGAGTATGGCAGCAGTGGCCTCCATGCACCTGCACCTCAAACCAGAGGAAACGTTTCCCCATGCATCCCTTTTGAAGTGTAGGGGCTCTGTGTGGTAACATTCTTTATCCAGGCTTATTGTTTTTACATCAAGGGTTCTCTTTTCAAAGGAAAGATTTCCAGAGGAGCTTACAGTTTTCTCCTCTGGTGTCTTCTCTGAATGGGAACTCTCAGGCAAAGCGCCTTTCTTACTGTCTTCATGGAAAGTCTGTCGGCTCCCTTTCTTGGCACTAATTAATTTCTTTAGCCAGTATAATTGCTTTCTCCTCACTCGCACCCTTAGCCCTGGCCACAGGTCTAAAGACTCTCTGCTCTCTAATTGTACAGATTTTTTTTCACCATTTTCTTCCATTTTTGGTTTTGAATTCATGCTCTAAACCTAACTAGATGCAATGAACAGTGACCACACCATAGCCTGGGTGCTCTGCTGTCTTAAAGTATTTTCTGCCAGATAGTCCTATTAGGTTTGAATTTAGCCTCACTCCAATATTCATGGTACAGCAGAACTCAGTCATATTTGTTTATTTTGTCAATGATCTGTAGTTCAGTTCCTGGTAGAATTATTGTTCCATCTGAAAGCTCTTGATTACAATCTAGTGTCCACATTCCTGTTGGCATTCCAGCCTTATACACTTTCACTGGAATGTTCTAGTAAGTTCTGCTTACAGCATTCTAGGACTTCCTCTAGCCTACAGCTTCCACATTCTTCCTACAAATTACTTCCAACTGCATGACCAGGTTTATTGCAGCAACAATCTCCCTTCTCATACCAATTTTCTATATTAATAGTTGTTACGTTGCTGTGATGGGATATCTAAGTAGAAGCTACTTAGGGTAGAAGAGGTTGGTTTTGGTTCACAGCTCAGAGGATACCATCCATTTTGGGAAGCCAGCAACTCAAGGTTGGGGTAGAGAAGACAGGAGAAATGTTGGCCTGTCTGCATCATCATGGCTGGAGAAATAGCCCCGGTAAAGACACCGAGAGTCAGAGAGATTAAATAGCATGCCTTGTCATTTGTATTTCTTTCTTCATTTAACTAATCAAGGGCCATGATAAGTCATCTGAATTGTGTTTCGTTTTGTTTTTAAGACTACTCTAAATAAAGACTTTGGTGTTGTGACCTTGAGCCAATTACCTAACTTCCTTCAATGTGTCAGTTTCTTGACCTATGAAAACAGTAATTCACCTCAGCGTTGTGATTTAACTAAATAGGTTGCTAAACAGAAAACATTTAGCAATGTGCTTGACGCAGAGTGACAGTTTAGGAATAAGCACTGTAAAAATAACCATTTATTTTACATATAACACTAAAGTATTTTATTTGCCATGTATTGACGGTTGAAATAATAAATAAACGTGTATGAAGTAAAATGCATTCCCCTTGATCCACCTCCTGTTTCCCCTCCCCAGCATTAGCCACCAGCGCCTTCCAGAAGGTTTCCTGTCCCATAGAAAAGTATTTTAAGCGGTCCTTTCGCTAAGAAAATACAAGTTGGCAGTTAGTATTTCACGGTGTTCTGGAAGATGGGAGCATGAAGAGGTGGGGAGACGAGCTTTCGTTTCACAGGTCTGCTGGGGATTCAGTGTCTATTCCAGCACTTGAACTGCTCTGGGCATCTCCTGACTTTTGTATGTTTGTTATTTCCTTTAGGATATGATGTTTCAGCTTCTCCGAGGTCTGGACTTTCTTCATTCTCACCGAGTAGTGCATCGTGATCTAAAACCACAGAACATTCTGGTGACCAGCAGTGGACAAATTAAACTGGCTGACTTTGGCCTCGCCCGCATCTACAGTTTTCAAATGGCCCTTACCTCAGTGGTGAGTCCATTCGTTAAACTTAGTTTTTCTGTCTTGAATGACCCACCGCCCCCTTCCTGCCCCTAATGTTGTTTCTTGGTCTGTGAACGGAATGTCTTTCTGCACTTTGTGTTATTGGTGGGCTAGGGGAAAGTGTTCTGCTTACTGCAGATGAACATGGCTAGCTTTGTTGCAGAAATAGCCTGTTGACCTCTCAGCCACTGGAAAGGAGTCAGTTACAAATGTCTAAGTGCTTTTTCCTATAACGTGTGTTTTTATAGTTGCATAGATAGCCATGGAAGACTGCACGACACAGAGGCAGGATAGAGAAGGCAGGAGAAATGTCACCGGTGTGCAGCAGTGTGGCTTGAGAAACGGCCACATTGCCTACCCAGGTGGGGTCAAGCAGTCCTCTGAAGCTGTGATGCCATCCGCAAAGAGAGCAATTAACTTGACAGTGACCTTGATTGACCTCTGAATGATGAGCAAGCAGCAGCCAGGTGAAGGCTTCTAAGAAGAGCATCCAGTAGTTAATATTAATAATCCTTTTCATTGAAAGCCCTACTCTGTATGAAGTAAATTCATGAGCAGATAGGAGGAAGCAGTGTTCCTCCACTGTGTTGCTAATGGGGCAGGAGACGGATACAGAGAATAAAGCTGCAGGAATACTGTCCTCAGACATATTATATTAAAACTTAGGAGAAAGTCCATCTTCAGCCTCAGAGAGGTTCTGAAGCCAGAACCTGGCCTGGTTGGTGCTGTCCTTGGGAAGTGTGAGGCGGCATCGCTGGCCATTGTTGTGAGGGGATGATGAGGCAGTGCTTCTGCGATGATGCTCCCAGAAGGCTGAGGTCCACACAGAGGAGCAAACCACAGCAGCCTCCCCAGGTTCCTGCTGTGTCTCATGCAAAGCTGAAGCCCAGGAGTGGAAACCTTGGAGAAAATGAGCTTGGTCAGGAAGAGCATCCACCTTACAGAGAGGTTTCCGCTTCCTTCTCTTTTTCACTCTATGCCAAGCACAAACTCAAAAATCTATAAAACCTCTTCCATTCCCAGCACTAGGTACTTCCCCAAGGCACCAGGATCTCTCTGGAACCTTCTTTGAAATACAGTGTGCTCTGGAAGGAGAAATCCCACTTGTCCCCTCTTTGCCCTCTGTTTGCCAGCGCCTTAGAGAAGACCTGGCCCAAGCAGATATTTCAAAGCCAGGCCTAGGCCTTGGGTGGAGTGAAGCAAGCCCTTATATAACCGCACCAGAAAGGGCTGCAGCTGTGAGCCTCCCCAGTGGGAAGGGTGAGGTAGGCTTTGCACTTCCTTAGGAAGTTACTCTCCTTGTTTTTGGGGGGCCCTGGGGAGAAGCTTGAATAGGCTTTGTGATTAAGAGAGTCCTTGGGGAGCAGATGAAGGAACTAGTCCTCGGGCACATTAATTGGGGGAAGGATGAGCTGAGCCAGCAGGGACACTTCATGTTAATCCCCCTAAATTGGCCCTAATAACTATAAATAAAAACAGGAAACCCAGTTGGGTTTTGTTTGGATTTTTTTGTTGTTGTTAAAGTTGAAGAATGGTAACCCAGCTTGTGAGTAACATCAGTGACATCCCATTCTTGCTGAAAGTTGGTATGTTTAAACAGGAAAATACATACTAATTCTTTCTTATCCCCAGAAAAGGGCAATAGCAAATATAGATTTGTGATTATTTGATATCTAGTTTGTGCTGTCTATTCTACATTTACTATAGTGACATAATAAAAATATGTTAGTAACTGAGAAAGACCTCATTCCAAAGAATGATACTTGGAATCTCATGGCAATATTAACAGGTGTGTTTTCGTTAGGGTACTGCATTTTAAAAAGTTCCCACTGTTGGTATTTTTTTCTGCTTGCAGGAAACATCCACATAATAAAATGACATATGACACACACATATAAAACCAGAATCACTGTCTCTCAAACTGAACTGATAACCTATTTTTAGTATTCTTTTAATGGGCTGCACTGCAATGCCTAGAAATACCCATTTTACAGTACGTTCTGTCTCATAGGGAAATGGAAAGCCACTTACTCTGCAGAATGGCAAAAGATTTGCAAGTTAACTGACCTGAGACCACAGTCTTAACTGCTCTGAAAAATGAGAATATATTTCTTATTTTCAAGGCTTGATTCGCAGGCCCTTTTGTGCTTTCAGGGTGCATGCACCTGTGTGCACTCAGCAGCCAGAAGAGGGAGTCGGATCCCTCAGAGCTGGTTATTTGTGGGATGCCTGGCTTGTTATGTGGGTACTGGGGGGTCCAAATTCCAGTCTTCATGATTGCTCAGCAATCACTACTAACCTCTGAGCCTTCGTTCAAGCCCCCAGAGAAATAGCTCTTATATTTTCTGTCCTGTTGGTAGTTATTTGGGGCTTTTATTTATAAGGTGGTGGAGCATTTAAAGAGAGATACTCACTCTTGTTCAACCTGGATGTTTGTGTGGGGATTCAGGAAATACTTCTTAATGAATAAGTTAATAAATGCCGATATGTAGAAGCATGCATTTTGAGTCATAAGAAAAATAGGGAAAGAATTGCTTATAGCTTTAATGGTTTCAGTATTACACATTGCTACCTTCTGGTCCTCACACTGAAGGACTTAGTAAAACGTAGACCTTCAAATGCTCATCTTGTGCCATGGTGTTGACTAAGTCATTGGCAAGAATTCCTGTGCAAAACAAGGAAAACTTCTTGCCATTGTCTGGCCTCATGTTAGGCCTGAAAGATGGTTTGAACTCAGGCCCACAGATGGATGAGATCTTAAAGTGACAGTCATCCTCTTTGCTGGATTAATCACCTGGTGAATCGAACTTCTGTCCTGAGCAGAAACTGGGGGTGATACAGGAACATGTAGCTATTGTTCTCCTGCTTATTTAAGGACATTATTTTTAACTCATTGTGTTTTGATACTAGCAAGCTTTAGAGGAGGTTTTGTATTCTTCAAAGGTAACTAGCATCTTCTGAATAAAAGAATAGAATTATTAGACAGTTTTTATTATTTTCTTCCCCTGTCTATGTTGATACATCTAGTCATGTGTGAATTTTTGGGGGGTTATAAACAATAGCTTGTGTTCTTGAGGGCTTTGTAGAAACTTTTCAATGTTTCCACATGTAACCTGCCTCCAAAGCTCTTTTTCTCTCTCCAGCCTTATCTCCAGTATTAAAGATGTTCATGGCCTCAACACAGTTTCCCCATGTAGAAATCACCAAAGATGATAATAAACCTAGTAAGGCTGTTAGAGAGACATAAAAAGTACAAGAAAAAAATCACTTGGGGATTTTTAATGGCAGTAATAAGATTCTAAATATTGCATTACTTAATATCATTCATTTAATACTGCAAGTCTGACACCATTTGAACTGCTTACACTTCCTCAGACCAGTGCCGTGTGTGTGTGTGTGTGTGTGTGTGTGTGTGTGTGTGTGTGTGTGTGTGTGTGATTAGCACTTGGTAAACACTGAAGAAACTATTCAGTTTCAGAGAATTTCATATGCTTAGGAAAATGAAGGAAATGGGGTTGTGACTGTGAGTCAGCAATCAGTTACCAGTCACTCATATGTGCCAGGTTCTATCCATGAACCTGAGAGATGATGCTGAACTAAAGTGGACAAAGGTCTTTGCTCTCAGAGCTTACAAGCAAAATTAGGAGACAATGGCAGGGGCTGGAAAAGATGGCTTAGTGGTTAAAAGCACTGGCTGCTCTTCCAGAGGACCTGGGTTCAATTCCCAGCACCCACATGGCAGCTCACAACCATCTGTAACTCCAGTTCCAGGGGATCTGACACCTTCACACCAATATACAAAAGATGTGTATAATTACTTTTTTAAAATTGGGAGACAGATCATGAGGGAATATAGCTTTAGAAACCGAGAAAAGGCCAGGCGGTTGTGGCCCACATCTTTAATTCCAGCACTCCAGAGGCAGAGGCAGGCAGATCTCTGTGAGTTTGAGACCAGCCTGGTCTACAGAGCAAGTTCCAGAACAGCTAGGACTGTTAAACAGAGAAACCCTGTCTCGAAAGACCAAAAAAAAGAACAAGAAACTGAGGAAAATGCAGTGGAGGAATAGGTTAGAGTTCTGTGGGACCACATAACTCATGGGTTTACCCAGGCTGGAGTCAGAGAAGCCCACATCATTCACCTGTGCCAGAATGTGGGATGTTCACAAGGGTCCCCAGCATCCTCTTTGCAGAACCCGTGTGGATGTCGGTCCGTTGGATGTGTGTATATCAAGTCATCTGCTCATTGTGTGACACCCAGCTAGCAAGCTCACGTGACAGAGTGAAGTAGGACCAGAGTTTGGAGAACCATGTCATCTTTTGCACAGGAAAACTCGACGTTTGTTTCTTCTCGGTGCATATCGTGTTTACTCCGGAGACCTGGCAGGGCTTGTGTCTCGGCTTCAGGAGCTGAGTTGCTCCCACAGAAGCCTCCAGAGGCTGCCAGTGCATACTAAATGGATCAAACCAAGAGCATTACATGAGCATCGTGGAAAAAACCCCAAAGCACATTGCCTCGGCACCCCAGAGAAAGTTCAGGACACACCTCTGAAGCAGGAAAGGCTCCTGTAACTCCCTCCTGCCTCAACATCTTGCCATGACACAAACAGGTCTCTTTTGTTAAAAACTTCCAGTTGCCAGTACATATTTCCTACCTAACAATGGAGTGTTTGTGCTGGTTTCGTTTTCACTTTCACCAGCGAGGGAAGCGGAACACAATGGGGGCGAGGCAGAGCTGGGAACGGGACACAGGATTCCCAGGGCTGCGTACGTGGAAAACGCCAGGGCCAAAACAAACATGCAGACCCATCCAGATCCTCTGTTGCTCATTCTTGACGGCAATAAAACACGTCTGAGTTGCTGTGTGATTGGTCAGCCCTGCCTGACGGTAACAGCAAACATCGATGAGCGCTGTCTGAGCTTCTCCCATGTGGAAAGAGAATGAATTCTGCGCTGTAGAGGAAACCGCTGTAGGTGGGTGTGCATATGTGTGGGTATCTAATTACACCAGCCCTGCTTGTGAGGTGAATCAAATGACTGTTCTCCTTGTCCATAAAAGATAGGCATTCATTTGGCTCACCTAAGGCTAGCTCCTTCATAAGTGGTGACTGTTGTGAATTAGTTCTGGACAAAAACAGCTGAACTGTACTGCTCCCGCCTGGGGGATGTTTTACTCAGAGAAAAGACTGGATGTTTTTCACATGTCTTGTACATGTTCAGCTAGCATGTCCCATCCAGGTATGGTGTACATAGAGTCTAGTTGTCTCCTGACTTCTTATCATAATGACTTTTGTCATGAACATTCCATATGATGTCATTCAAATGTCGGAAGCCTGAACTCAGACTTCAGTGTGAATACAGCACGTGTTAAAGTTGATGAGATCAAATGCTTTCATGGAGCCTTGTGAACAGTGGTTTCCCAGGGCTCCAGAAGATGAGAATATTCCTGTCTTCTACCTTCAATGTTTTTTGAGGATGTACTTTCTATGCGGTGTCAAGAAATGATCTGAAACCCTTTGTAATAAGACAACTTCATCTCCTAAGCTTGCCTCCCTCAAAGGTATTTTTCCATACCCAGACTATGAGGCACGGTCCTTGGGATGGAATGTAAAACAATGTTTCTAGAATGAGGGTTTTTGTGCCCTCTTTAACTCTTCGGATGTGTGAACTTCTTGTTTCCAGCTGTCCCAACCACCTTGTAAAGCAGGGGGAGGTATCCCTATCTCCATTTTGTCTGGACCTTAATAATCTCATAGTAGAAGTCAGGATGTTACTGAAATTTTGTAACATTGGTTTATCTGTTGTTATTCATTCAATTCAAATTTTACATGGGGTGAATAAATGAATGGGGCCTCGTGACTCTCCAGGACCTAAGGAACCCACTCCCAGCCCTGTGCTTGTTGGGATGTTTGTTTACACTGTCCCCAAACTGCTTTTCTCTCTTCTCATCCCCAGCTGTACATCAAGGTATGTCACTAATTACCCAACACCACTAAATGCTTCCTAGCTCTTTGAACTTGCAGCCCAGCTCCCTGTCTTCACAGATCCATTGGGGCATACATTTCCACCTCCTGGCACCGGACAGCCTGTGCCTTTACCTCCACCGTGAGCACCTAGACACGGGTTTCATCTGATCATTCCGTCCACTGTGTCATCTCCAGTGAAAACTCAAGCCTCCTGAGCCCCAGCAGAGTAATGTTTATATTTTGAATGTCTGTCTGGGTTGTCAGATTTTTGTCCTTTCTAACCTGTGTGCCTTTGTTTTCTGTGTGCCGAACCTTTATGTAAAGATTAAGAGTTCTCGGCCTCTTCGGAGGAACCATCTCAAGAAAAGGTTGACAACGCCTCCTTTATCATCAGATATTTGACTTGGTCCATGTGGGCACGTGAGAATATTAGAGAGATGTTTCTGTCTAACTAAGGTCAGTTTTCTGCGTGATTAGACTGTACCGCTGGACGTCCCGCCTGAGTTTGACTTGAGTGCCGTGGTCTCTAGTCTGTACCTCAGTGATGCTGGTTGGTGGCTGAGCCCACCCTCTTATTACCCCTGATTTGAGCTCTCCTCTGCTTTAGGGATTGAAGTGCAGGGTGAGTGATACTGCTGGGCCCAGCATCTGCAAGGATGCTGATGGTTTTTAAATCCCTCATAAATATGAAGGTTAAACTTGACAGCTGGCCGTGGAAGAATAATCCACCTCTGTATCTTGGGGAAACATCCAAATGAAGGAAGGGGGAAACGTAGGGGAATTTACTTGACTGCTGCTCATGTGTTTATTCTGAAGGCTTGGCAGAGTCTAAAAATGGGGCTGTAAATTTAACAGCTCAACCATAAAAACCCCAAAATAAGGAATAAGAAGCTCTACAACTTCTAGGTCTGAATACTAATATAAAATTCCAGATTTAGCTTCTTCTGCCATTTGATTTTTTTTTTTTAATTTCTAAAACCCCTTCCTTTTCTTCTTTCCCGCTTCTGTTTTGATTAATTGCATCGTAAAGGTTACCCATGCTCCGAAATGAGTAGACGTGTTTTGTGAGTACTTGGTGGATATACTTCAGTTGTTAGAGTTCATGGTGGCATTAAATTCTGTCTACACCTTGTGAAGGCTGGGTGATTTCAGTGAGGTAGGGGACCGCGCATGTTATCCGTTCTTGTGGGAAAATATGCTTCAGTGGCTTACTGGCACTGGGTTTGGAATGTGGCATTTAAAAGTACCTTTTTACAGTGGGAAAGAATCCTGTCAAGAATAAACAGTCTGACCTTGTTAAATGGGCCAAAGTCTGCCTGTAATCTAGTTCCAGAAAACTAGCTTTTACTAGTTTAGAGAAAGCAGATCCGGGGGTGGGGTTTTAGAAAGGAAAAAAGAGGGCCATTTAAAAAAAAAAAAAAAAAAAAAAAAAACAAAAAAAACTTTCTATGACACCCTCTCCTCTCCGTGCGGGGGGGGCAGAAGGGGGGGGGGGGGGAATACAACTGGAACCTTTGAAAAGAAAAGAAAAAGTAACTATCAAGAACGTGGAGTGGACTCCTAAACCAGTGCTCTCCACTTGTTCTGGACCTGACTGTCAGACACCCACTTCTGCAGAGGGGATGGGAGATCGGGCCCTCAGCGGGACAGAAGAGCGTGGTTTCTTGTTCCTGGAAAGACAGGGCTGGGTTACAGAAGGGGACCGTGGGAGCAGTCATGCAGCATGGACCACCGTGGGAAAACGGCCGTCCTGGGTAGACGGTGAAGTGTGTGCCCCTGGGGTTCTCCCCAAACCCATCCACATGCCCTGTCATCTGTCCATCTCAACATTGTGACATTTGTGTCCCCAAGCCACTGGACATTCTTCCCCACTCACTCAGACTGCATCTCCTCTCTGAAGTCTGCCTGACTCCCCAGGACCACTCCATGTGACTTGATTTCCCTGTAGCTCCCTAGGACCACTCCATGTGACTTTGGGTTTCCCTGAAGCTCCCCAGGACCACTCCATGTGACTTGATTTCCCTGTAGCTCCCTAGGACCACTCCATGTGACTTTGGGTTTCCCTGTAGCTCCCCAGGACCACTCCGCGTGACTTGATTTTCCTGTAGCTCCCCAGGACCACTCCGTGTGACTTGATTTCCCTGTAGCTCCCTAGGACCACTCCATGTGACTTTGGGTTTCCCTGTAGCTCCCCAGGACCACTCCATGTGACTTGATTTCCCTGTAGCTCCCCAGGACCACTCCGTGTGACTTTGGGTTTCCCTGTAGCTCCCCAGGACCACTCCGTGTGACTTGATTTTCCTATCATAACAGCTCTCGTATTATTCCCGTCTGTTTGGCTTTTTGTCACCCGTTTCGTTATCATTGTGAAATACATTTCAGCAGCCAGCGTCCTGCACAAGCCCGTGGAGCCCGTGGTGGTTGCTCAGGGAGTAGAGAAGCTGTGGTGAAATGAGAGGCTTGCCTGTAGAGGAGGGGGGAGCCTGAGGTGTGCGAAGACCAGCCCCCAAACCCTCGCTTCCCTGGAGGCACCCCTACTGTGCCTCTTTCCTGAAGCATCTTGGAATTTCAGCACCAGGAATCCAACTTGTTTTGTTATTCTTGTTGCTAAAATACAGTATTTATATTTAAACTCTATTACAGAGGAATCAAGATTTTCTTCATTGTACTCAGATGCATGGCTGGTAGGATGGTCACGGACCACACTTAGATCTCATGGAACTACTAATCATGACCATTTCTATGACTAAATGAAAAATTAGTCAGTATTAAGTTGAGAGACATTTGAATGGAGTTAGAATAGAAACAAACATCTTACCTTGAGCTCTAAACATAAACTTTTAAAACTGCACCCCCCCCACCCAGAACTAGAGATTGAACCCCAGACCTTCTACCATTGACAAGTATTCCACCCTGCACATATATCCCCACCCAAACCGTGTAACTTTAGGATATGTCTTTTACCAGTGGGCTTATGGCATAGTTATTCAAAATAGCTAAAATTTAGGGGCTGGACAAGGGGCTCTGCAGTTTCAAGAGCACTGGCTGCTTTTCTAGAGGATCGCGGTTCCCTTCCCAGCACCCACATCTCTCTGTAACTCTGGTTCCAGGGTGTCTAATGCCCTCTTCTGGCCTCCGCAGGCAATGACATACATGCAGGCAAAGCACCCATAAATAGAAATGTAACTTAGTAAGTTGGGATACATGTTCTTAGGCCTCTATGACTCTATTACCTAAGTAGCTATACTCAGTGTCTGGCCACTCGACTTCCTCATAGCTACGTGTGGAAAGACGTGCTGATAGGAAGAGCCAGAATTGGCTGTTGTGAACTGAGGCATGTAAAGTCCAGGGGAAATGCAGATGCATTGTCCTCATTCCTGACTGGGTGCTGGCCACTGACGTTCTCTTTCCTGACAAGGAGAGAGTCGGGATATGGCACAGTACAGTGTCTAGGACGTTGACAAGACTGAAGAAGCCGTCCACTTAAAGTAAGAAAACCCTCTTCCGCGGTGCCCTCGGGAACTGTGCGGGGATGGCTGGCTGCATGGTGTCACTGCCTTTTCTCTGCGCGGGTCGCTGTCCTGTAAGGGCTCCTTGGCTGTGTCTTGTCACTGCACCCACAGAAAGGTCCTCGCTGTTCTCTGTTGCTCCCCTTTCCGTTGTGGTTTATGTACTTCTGGGTTTATTTTATTTTTTAGAGTCATTTATTTTTATTACGTATGCGAGTGTTTTGAAGAAGGTGTCTGATCCCATGGAAATGGAGTTATAGGCAGTTGTTAGGCAGCGTGTAGATGCTAGGGATTGAACCCTGGTTCTCTGGAAGAGCATGCAATGCTCTTAACTGCTGGGCCCTCTCTCTAGTCCCTGTACTTGTGTTTTCAAATGTACTAGATGCCATTATTTGGATGTAGTTCTTGGGTATTATTAGTCCTGTGACATTTCAGGAAGACAAGTCACCAGATGCATTTTAGAAAAGTACTAGTTGCTTTAAATATTCGGGAAATAGCCTTTATTTCCCAGTAATTTTACCTTTAGACGCTTAGTACGGGGAGGCAATTGCTTAGAAATAACATTATTTACGAAACCCAGTGTGTTTTTGTGAGTGTATTCTTCTACGTTCCGTTTGTAGCATTATGAATGAGTGATTCTACTTCCTAAACATTTACTGTGTGGGGAGGGAGGGTGCCCACGCCGTGGCGCTGGTGTGGGGAGGGAGGGTGCCCATGCCGTGGCACTGGTGTGAGGAGGGAGGGTGCCCACGCCGTGGCACTTGTGTGGGGAGGGAGGGTGC